CACTTGTAAAAGGTTAAAATGGTAATTGTGGTGAGTATATTTTACTACAGTGAAAAAAAAAGCCTCAATGAAGTCTGTATTGTGATTATAACACCAAATTCTAATCTACTAATTTTTAGAAACAAAGTTTATGCTATATGGTCTGGTGGAATCATGCCCGCTGACTGGCAATCCACAGGGCTTCTCTGGTCTACTGGAGAAGTCACGTGGCTCTAAGAAGCTTGCTTGACGAATGAGAAGTCAGAGCAAGGAGCTGGATCTGGTGATGGTTACCAGTGGAGAGATGATTTTGCCTAATGTTCTCATCCTCAATATAGGAATATATCTGCCAAGGAAGCCTGAATCTTTGCATCAGTCAGTCCGAGCACTCTTCCTCAAGACAGTGTCACCAGTCAAGGTTATTTTTCAAAGCAGTTTATCAGAGTCAGGAAGGCAGCAAGAAAATATGACTAACACATCAATACCTATTAAAAAAATGATGAAATCTAAAGTCCTCAGTAGAGAGAAGAAGAGCAGGATCAGGAAATATTCTTATAGGATCAAATTTTGTGATTTTAAGATGAAAATTTTAAACCCAACATTCATTGTCCTACATAGAAATGCTTTGGCATCTTGATGACAGTAGAAGACCAATTAATAAGGCTGTTTACCTTTTCAAGTTGTCATGGCACATATGAGACTCTCTAGGATCGAAATATGCTACTAGAGAAGGAAAGAAACTGGTATGAAGTGGGGGAAAGATAAGAAGAAAAAGGAAATATTGAGAAGGAAGGGAGACAAATAAGGAAGGAAGATAGTTGTAAAATACTGTTGTGAGAAGAAAGAAGTCTCCATGAGATGGAGAGCTAACATATATATCCCAAAGCACTGGAAATAGCGACAAAGCTGCATAAAACATTTCTGGAAGAGAACAAAAACACGCTAATAAACAACAAGTTTCTACTGTATATCAAAGGGTATTCAATATCTTGTAGTAACATATAATGAAAAAGAATATGAAAAGGATATGTATGTATATGTATGACTGAAACATACCAGAAATTGACACAACATTGGAAACTGACTATATGTCAATAAAAAATATCTGGGAGAAAAAAAACCACACACACATAAAACATGGTACTAAAAAGGAAGAAATTTAAAGCCAGAGTAGTGACCTGAGCAGATACTTGATAACCTGGAGGCTTGGACTTAAAGTTCATGTAGACACATTTTGGGTGAGGGGTTGGGACTAAGACCCAACAGAAAAAACAACCTGACCGCCCACCCAGGAGACCCTAGTGAATCTTGTCTGTCTCTATTTAGGCAGCCAGCGGGGAAAAACATGTAATTTCCTGAAAAGTCCAAAATCCATGCTTGATCCTTACTCAGGCTTGCAGTTGAAGTTTATGCTGAATCCCTGGAAACCCCAGTCCGAAATATAAACAGAAAATTAGGTTGTGGAACAGAGATGCCCTTGTCACTCCTGGTATATATAAATGCAAAACTACGTGTGGAAACACAGACACACCTGGGTGGCGGGGGATTCTCACAAAATATTCAGCCTCATTGAACATGAGCTCACCATAAAAAGTCACAGAATAAGCAAGTCACAATTTTGTGTAAGGCACAGTCGATGGTCACAAAATACAGGAGGATTAAATTCGAGAACTTGAGTTACCAGACTGGGACTTAGAAAGTGACTATCAAAGAAAATATTATTTTAAATTATTAAAGTTATAACAGAAGTAATTAAAACACAGGAATGAGAAATGGAAAAAGACAAGACTGCTGTGAATGACATTGATGATGATAATAATAATAGTGCAGCACTGACCACCTACTAGGCACTTTTCTAAATGCTTTGCAAATATTAATACATTTAATCCTCACAACAGTGTTAGATTGTATTATGAGGTATTATTATTTTCCCATTTTATAGATGAGAAAACTGGCACACAGAGAGGTTAACTGACTTGCTCCAGGCCACACATCTAATAAGTGACAGAGGTGAAGTTTGCACAAAAACAATCTTTACCCAAATGTCTCAGTCATTTGAGCTGCTATATATATAACAAAGATACCATAAGCTGGGT